TTTTTATCTCTGAACATGATAAAAGCAATAAAATTATATGCTTATAAAAAAAAATTCACTAAACTTGCTTCTTATCGCATGTCTGGAACGGTTGTAATACTAAATTCGAGTTTTCATATCACATATTAAACGGGCCATGATAAATGGGATACCGAGCAACCGAATTAATCCTCCGCATTAAAAATTTGTGAGGCAACTTGTATAAAAAGCATTACAAAATGTACAGTGTGAAAGGGATAAAATTCGCGACGGTCGGTGTAACGGAACGCAGATAGCTCAATGCGCATTTAATTAGCGGTGAATTTTTCTCTGCGTTCCTCTAACGAGCGCACCGCGACGTTGTACCGCGGTATCGTAATTGAAAACGGAAGAGAAATACGAGTTAACGTCGCGTCTAAGAGTGGAAGCAAAAAGAAATCTGCTATACGTCTGCTCATCGAGAACGGTCGCATATATCCGGTTTTCGTTAACCGTTTGCGACTCGATTTGCTCGGATGCATGTCACTCGACGTACCGCGTAAATATCGCCGGGAAATCGTATTTACCCGCTCAGTAACGTATGTACGTGGTACACACAAACGGAGGAAACATTGCGAATTTCCGCTATTCATTAGCAACGTTCATCTTTATCTTCCACTAACGTATTATCATAGCTAATAAATATTTCAATTTCATCAAGCCATACATTCGCTCCTCCATTAATTTATACTCATATTATGAATAGAATTCAACGATAATATGATTGTAATCTTTAATTCGTAATTATGTTTTAATTTCATTTCTCATGTGTTATTAATACATATATACATGTAATATTCTTCAATTTACCGCAAATTGGAGTAAGAGACCAAAAGATAAAATAGAACGGAGATTTAATTGAATGTGATTTTCATGAATGTCACTTAAAGCAATTACAGAACAGGGCTCCTTCATGTCCTTTTCCAAGAAAATACGTGTCTCGAATAGACAAAATCCGAATGACTATTTTTACAATTATACAATATGATTTGCCTTTGCTCCTCTGCCTTCACCTATTTCATTATCGTTCACGGTGTCACGTCTAAATTGAATAGAGCATAAATTACACTTGTCGCATTCATGCCGGCAATTATTCAACGCGCTACTGCAAAATCTCGCAACGAGACGTATGTTCCACGCTCTGTTAAAGGACAGAATCGTTCCCTTTGCAGAGCGCAACCCGGTTCCAAGCACCGCGTTCTTGCATTTCTCATGTCTCCGAGAATCCGATAAAAACCAACCTGGTTGCTCCAGCACGGAGTCCGTCCTGGGTCATCCAAAGAGAAAGAGAGAGAGAGCTCTTCCGGGCGGATCGAAACGCAGCTGCAGCTTCTATGGTACGGGACACCACCGCCGCGCCGCCCTTCTTCTCTTTGGGGTGGTTCGCAGCTCGATAGAAGCGAAACAACTCCTTCGGCACTGCACACCGCCAATGTAATACGCGACGAGAGCGGGACGCCTCGTGTACCGGCGATTACCGAACGTGCGATCCATACAACACTCTCCACGGAGGCGTCGCGACGCTCACTGCGGAGACTCCGTCGCGTACCCGCCCTTATAGCATCGTGTTGCGCTCACACTGCGCCCCCTGTGCCCCCTAACCACCCTTCCACCTTCCTAGTCCGCCGCACCACCGCCGCTACTCTCTCTCTCTCTCTCTCTCTCTCTTCACGTTCCCCTCTCCAACGCCTCGCACAACCCCCAACCCTCTCACGGCCCCCACCTTACGGGGGATAACGCGAGTGCTCGTTCGAGGGACCAACCGATGCATTCTTCGGAGATGCTTCGTCGCTTGACGCTGCGAGCTCCAGGTAAGAGCGAGGGAATGGATTTCTTCGTGCTCCTTCGGTTACTCAATCCTTTGTTTGCAATTGCATTAAAGCGGAAAAATACGCTTCGCCGTATACTATGCCCGCGACGTGCCACTTTATTGTTGTCTCATCGGTGCAGACGATACGTCTCAAGGATACGCGTATCAAAGATTTGACTTCGGTTACTGATCTTTTTGCGTAACTTTCGACGCTGGTAAAAACAGACAAGTAAAACCATTGTAAAAAGTTAATGCAACGAAATGTTCCGTAGCAAAATACTCGAGAGACACGTGAGATTATTTTTTTAATTATTTTATTTACTAGACACCCGACACTAAATAATAACATTAACGTGGCAGTACTTATATATACATTCACGCTTCGTCCTCGTAAATGACCAAGTCGTTCGTTATAAAGCCCTTCCGGAGGTATTGCAACGCAGTACACGTCAGCCACGTGCCTTAGAAATGGCCGAGATATTTGTGTGAATTTTTTTTTCAACATTTTTTTATATAGGATCAATTAAAAAGCGTGCAACGCATTTTCTGTTGAGGCAATTAAATTAAAAGTCCTGCGTCTAAACAGAAGCAATTTCTTTTACAGCACGCTCAGGCGGACTCGCGTATCAGTCTACGAAACATTGCAGCTGCTGAAGGGATAAAAGTGTCCCTATCTCGAGAGTTTTGGTACTAACAAAGTTATTTACCGCGTCAGGCGCAAATGCCAATTTAAGAGGTAACCGTTATAATGACGCTAAAGTCAAACCGGCGAGCTGATAAGATTTAACTTGTTGAGCGCAGCGACAGACATTGGGCGTACCTCGCTAGCGAGAAAATACATCTCCGTACAACGAGAAACTTTAACTCTGAAAATGGTTCGGAACATTTCTAGAGATGTCAGCGAGTTAATTCCGACATTTACATTTACGTCACCGTATAAAATTGATCGATAAAACGCTGATTTTCCGACAGTGAGAAGTTTGGTAAGGAGATCTTTTTTGTGCGCGAATACATTTTTGTTCTCTCGAATTAAGAGAAAATTGTGAAATCGAGCGTAATGATAATTGAATTATTTAAATTTATTATCACAAAATTCCACTCTCAAGAACTGATATTTTTTACAATAGCTCCCTGATTTATAAAATTTTAAATGTAACAGGTAACAATTATATCAGTGCACAATAATAAAAAATTAAATCAGATATCGATAAACAGCAGAAGTAAAATTTTATTAGTTAAGTTTTTATTATTTTATATCTATTTTAAGCTTTCTATTATTATATTTATTTTGAAACTTTTCTATTTCTCATAAAAAATTTCAATAATATTTATTATCCAGAAAATATTAATATAGCGTGTAAATTAATTTATAGATTTACACATTTTGTTTCTTTTTTAAGAAAAATGAACCTGAAAATAAAGTCTTCTTTTTGATACTGTCATGTCTTTTATATTTCTTTAAACTTTAGCATATCTTATATTTCTGTGACGAATGAACAACGTATGATGACATTATAAGACTGACGTTACATTCAACTTTCTTTTACGACAAGACATATACTTGTACGACACGTGCTGTCGCTCTAGAAAATTGCGATCCTGAGTAAGGTCGACACGCATCACATTCAGTAGGATGCTCATAAAAAATCCTTATCTACTTAATACCTGAGAGATGAAGATATGTATCGCGATTTAATGTTAAAGGTAATACAAAATATCCTTTGTGATAATGTATCATTTAGTCTTATCAAATATGTTAGAATTATATATATTCGCTAAAAAGAAATTGCTTACAACTTACCTTAAAAGCAGAATTCTGTCGCTAATTTACGCTTTTTGAGACACTGTATCTATCATTCTGACACAAACCGTATTTCAGATCGTTAGTCTTCCAGTATCATTAATTTAGCTATCGTAGGGACACACGTATCATGGTATCCAGACTCATCGGAGAAGAAAAAAAAGAGTCGGAGCTCAAAGAAGCGTTTCTTTCGAGGGTTAAACTTCTTCGTTCGTGACATGACCCTAACTATCTCTGTCAAGTGACCAATTGGTTATCCAGTTACGCTTTACTTGAACATCATTTTTATGCTTTTTTTTTTATTGATGACCTATGAAATGTTCACAATAAGATTCTTAATCCCTTGGGAATAATCACTTGGAATATTTTTGTATCTCAGCGACGAAAACATTTAACTTTGTTGTAAAATATTGTATTATTTATATGGATCGTTTAACCTCTGTTTAACAATTATTTTGAATGGATCGTATAGATCATATTTCCCTTTTTTTTTAAATAATTGTTCTTTACCTTTATATATATGCAGTTCTATCAAAAACCCGCAATAAAATAACGTTCTGTTTATTAATCTATATATATTTTTTTTAGAAATACTGTCATAATAAATTACTTAACGTGCTGATTCTATTTATTGTTTGTCCTATTTTTATTTTTATTTTTCAGAAAATGTGATTAAGTCTATATCTATAGTATTTTCAAATAGTATTAATAAATAAAAAAATAAAAAAAAAATAAATAAAAAAATAACTTACAATATACAATATATTTTTAATAATTTTAATTGAGGTATCAAAACAGTTCAGGTAATTATTTAATAAAAAGATCAGATGATTATTTTCGGATTAAGAAAGAAGATTTAACTATTATTAAAGATTATATTATATTATATAATAATTAGCACGTAATGTACTTAGCGTTAAAAAAATATTTAAAAAATTACAAAAAGATTAAAAAAATATATGCTTAAATGCAATCAATTAATCAGAAAATTCTTCCTAATTTAATATCCTAATTTGATGAAATAAAACTTTTCAAAACGATACAAAAACTTCACTTAATAATCACTCAAATACTTTGTCCAATAGATTATATAATTATTTTCGTAAATTTAAAAAAGATATTACTTTTTAGGTACATAAAGTGATTTGTGTACCAAGAAATAAATCCCAGAGTATGATTTTCGCCTCATTGGTTAAAGAAAAAGAACGTGTGGATTATGCCCTTAAAAAGCTGTCTTTTCAATAGTCCATGAGACAGTCTTTCAGTTTCCGGCTGAAAGGATATCTAATACTCGAGTCTAGTGACCCTGTGTGACCATTCTTAAGGACGCTGGACGAAATTCAACAAGACCAATGTAAAATATTTCGTTTATTCGATAACAATTTCGCCTCTTCCGGCGTGGAAGCACGATTGCGAAGTTTATTGTACAAAAATTATTAAGTTCTGTTGTACACACCTAATATAGGTGCTGATAACTATTTACAGCTTTTTCAAATATTACTAGAAAATTCTTAGGAAACATAATATAATAGTATTTTTGATCAATAATCTCGATTTCGCTTCAACATTCATATTCGACGCGCCATTCATACAGCGCGAAGTTACGTTTAAGGCACTTGTATTATCAAAATATACAGACGGACGTAAATCGTCACACAGTAATTAAACTACAGTAATAACGATTCGAGTGTATTCGCGCGAAATACAAGCCGGAAGTTACGTGAATCCCCGATCAATGAAAAAAGAATCGACAGTTTCGCGAAGAAGTTACAAATCAATCGCGAATTTATGCTTTCTTCGAAGCAGTTCTTTCTTCATTTCTGCGTTTTCATTCTTTTTAGCTCCTTTATATCGTGGAATAGTCCTCAAGCAGAGTCTCGCCAAAATGCGTTACGACGTAATCGTGATAATACATCATTATACAAAGTGGTTGCCCGATGATGAGACTTGCCCATACGACGATGTTACCCCATCTGGCGCCGCAGTATCGTTCCGCCATCTTGCTCAACACCGACAGTGGTATCTAGAATGAACAATTAGCGTTGCACGACCGGAATTTCCGTACTTAGGAACGGACAGGGTAGATCTTGTACGTGCATACAAGATGTAGTGCATCACGTAATTTCATGTAAAGCATAGCAAATGATGTTGCAACGTCTGATATCCCGGAATATGAAATCTGCATGACAATTAAAGACATATTAACCGACGTCTATTAAGAGAGTAATTTAACCCCAGCTACTTTATATAATATTCTTTATACATATTCTTTCTCTGATTACGTTTAATTTACTTGGAATTACAGCTTGACTGAATCCTTTATCTTATTTTCCAGGATCCAATAGCAATCTTCAGCAATCCAGAATATTATTGTTTAAAGCCGTAGAGAGTCTTTGAGGAATCAACAAGAATGTCTTGACAATAGAGTCAACATTTGCACAATTAATAAGAGGCGCAAAGCAAAAGCAAGGAGTTCTTACCTGTCCCATCATACCCATAAACGCCCATATCTTGAACGTCCTTAAGGGTACACTGACGAGATACTCGTGAAAGAAAGCGCTAATAAAGAAGACAGTCAATGACGCCGTGGTTTTACCATAACCCATTTCTACTATCGGAATATAGAGATGTCTGTAACATAAATGTATCATCAACAAAATACAATATGTTCGAATTATAAGTGGAAATTAGACTGATAAGAGTAAATCAATTAAGGTCCTGTTTTCATTTGTTAGTTAATATACGTTAGAGTTAACTCGATGGTAAGGTTAAAATCACATTTTTTCTATTTATAGTTAATCACTGATGGTTTTGTAGTAAATAACTTTTAAAGTTACGAAACCATTAATTTTGTGATTAATCATAGCTAAAAAAACACAATTTTTACATTATCATCAAGTTAAGTGAATTTAAGTCTTAAACGAAACGTTAATAAAATTATTAAGCTTAAATCACAATCAGATAATGAAGCGAAACTTAACAGAAAATTATCCTATTTTCGGTTAAAAAGTATCTTGGTACTTAATAATATTCATGCAGCTTTGTAAATAAATTTTTCAGTTCTTTATAAACTGCACGTCGTTACGGTTTGTCAAACTTGAAATGTATTCATAAACTAAAGTTGGAAATAACATCACAAATTTACATTAATCGTTAATTCAATAGTAACAAAAATATCTTAATATATTGGAATGTAATATAATCAAATTTTCATTTGTGGATTTTGTTTAAAAATAAAATGCAAAAAGTATTTTTATATTAGAAGCATATGAATTCTTTTCTTTGTTCCTGTCTTACGATATTTTTATATTGATTACGTAGTTCTGGCAAAATTGTACATTCAATAATAGAAAACGATCTAAAAATGTTCAATCGATTAAAGATCCTGATTCTAATCGTAACGAACTCAGAAAAAGTATATTTAGAGCACGTTTCGTTTATTATTCCGATAATACAATACTATTATCACAAAGGAACGCATTTCTATGGTATCCGCGCTCTCAGACGGTAGTTGTGTTACAGAATGCAAAAGTCGTTAGGCCGATAAGGCAAACAAAAAGTACGACGGCGCGAAGTCGCTCCAAAAAATTAAAGCAATATTCGGGAAAGTTTCGCAACATTTCGGTTTGGCAACACTCTACCATTATCGTTTTCGTTTGTATGGCCGAACAAGTAGAATCGGGGCAACTCGGGAAAGAGTCGTTAGCCGCTTGGCTATCAGCGAAGCTGCATCGAAAAGAGAGCAAAAATGCAGAAGAGCGTACTGAAAGAGAGAGAACGGGGAAAAAAAATGAGAAGAAAGCAGCAGGAAGCAGAGAACATTCAAAGGTGGTACGACGACAGTTCTAAGGATTTCGGGCCGCATCTTCAGAACTCTTGCTGCCGCCAGATCCTTCTTCCGCATTGAATCGTGCTTTCTTCAACCGAAGCGAACGTCTCGTTCGCGCAAGACGTTCAGGAATATCTCTAGTTATGTAGGTATTATAAGCGTCGCGGGGAATAAACAGCCTTAAGTGCGCATCACGATGCGTATCGGCTTTTCCCATTACAAACCTGAAAGGGCGTCGGCAGTGGTCTCAACGGTCTCGTCAACAACGACACACCTCTGTACCTCTCGCTCTGGGGGAGCATTTCCATTTTCACCTCCCGACCACCCCGCACATTGCCGCGTATACTGTAGCTGCGTGCCAGTCGCAGCTTGCAAATGCAACTGCGTATCTCAGTCGTGGCGAAAAAAAGAAACGGGGCGAGCGACGTAAGCGGGCAGATGCGTCGCCGAGGCAAAAAGGAAACGCGAGCAGCGCCTGGGTTTGAAATTCATGTCGCGAAAACTCGCACGGCGTCTCTTTAGCGATCCCTATTTTTCTCCATTTTTATGTCATTTAAAAAGAGAGCATGGCCAGTCATTCTCACGGTACGTGTCGCGTTTTATAAGGGTATGCTATAAGACAATCCCGCTCTTGTTATGCAGTGGTGGCTACTATTCCACATTACGTCATGTCTGTCGGAACTAACTTGAACAACGCGATTCTCTTTAGCATGATCAAATTAAGTTTCTTCACAACAGAAATATTATTCGAGCTTAATACTATAAGATATCAAAGAAAAACGTGGAGCCCTTGTAAGAATCCTGGGATATTCAAAGTATCCCGTCACGACATTTCTAATATTCCACAGGAAAAGCAGTAGATTGACTCTTTACACGACATTCATGGTAAACCTTGCGCAGCTTGTACGTGGCAATTCCGACGATTCCCTTTTCTCTCGGTCACATAATAAGAACTTCGTACGGCCACTTTTACAGGGATTTAAACTTTCTTTTGGGCTACTTTCGAAGTACAAAGAACCGGCGCGTTCTTGAAAGGAGGTCGTCACTATGGGCTCGAGTTGTTAGGTGCACGTGCGATGGGTAACCGTAAAAGATGGAAGGCCCGCCGGAAAAGTCTTTCGGAAGTTCGCTGATTGTATTGAGCGGGGGATGTATAATCTAATGTGGCGGCGACAGCCGAGATGTATAGGTTGAGGGAGACATTTTAGGCGGAATAAAAGGTTTTCGTAAGGAAGCCCATTCTTATAAAACGAAAAACTGTCTCTCATGTAATGTCTCACATAATGTCCTCATACATGTATATAGCTATGCGAAAATTTGTACGTAAAAACTCGAGCTATTCTTATAATGTCGACAAACTAATTAGGTTAAATGAAATTTTTGCAACTTTACACAAAGAAAATTGAGTGCACAAAAGTGTTAGAGACCGACATTTTTCCTCATCTACTTGATGTTTGTATGTAATAGGTAAGGCGTGTCGAAATTACTGAGACGATGCACGAATGTTACGTTGAAATGACGGTCATAGCTGTGAAATAACCTCAGCGAGACGCGTATTGCATTATTATATAATCATGTTATCTCTACAGCCAAGTCAAAGGTGCAAAGTAAAGCGCCGGAAGAGTTTTTCCTTCTACAGCGTGGAAGGTAGGTACGCGAGAAGCTGAGTGTTACGGAACGAAGAGATGGCAAAGGGTAAATAGCATAAGGGAGTGGTATATAAGAGAAAGAGAGAGAAAGAGAGGGGAAGAGAGAGAAAGAGATAAAAATGGTTGAAGAAGTAAAGAGATGAGGCCGTCACTACAAGTCGGACCTTTGATCGACTTTCCTCTGTTCAATCTAACCGAGGTTAAACTTCGTTAATAAGTATGCTCCTCTTTAAGAAGATTCAATTACATTTTTCGCCAATAACGATAATGTGATCTAACGTTCAGTCTATGTAAAAGAAGAGAAGTTTCTATGCATCGAAAACATCTGGCTGCATGCATTTTATGCACATATATTCATTAATTACATTCAACTTTGTTTAATAAACGACTATCTATATATTATCATTTTTCATATTTTTTCTTAACAGACTTTCTAATAACACATATTAGTTTATCATATATAATTCGATCATAGCTGTCATTTTATCATGTTCCTTTTTACAATTAATAAGCTTTTTAATAATAAATCCAGTTACTGCAATAATTTACTCAGTCATCAATATATGTTAAAGGTATAACGATAATCTCTCTTACGTTATCATTTCTAAAAATGGCAATATTTCAACTAATAATATAACTAATAATGTTTTAAATGAAGAACATATTTGTCTATATCAATTATAAAAATTTTAAAAATAGTCGTTATTATTAATGTAAAGTCAAATAAAAATTGCATTTTTATCTCTCAATAAGCTGTGTAATAACAATAGCGCAATTGAAGAATTATTTTCAACTAATTTTATAAAAATCATAATAAAGAATCCTCCTGATATCAAGTATTGCTATGAATAAAACGGTTTATTCACCGCACTGCCCAGCGATGCACCGGCGCGTTCCAAGTTCTCCAGAACGTATCGATATTGTTGGCGTTCCACCAGTCACTGTAAAAATTCCGATCTGCAAAGTGTAGTAACTCGCCCAACAGATTGAGAGAGGAGTGAAATGTCAAGTAGAAAAAGCAAAGCCATACTAGATGATTTGGTATCTGAAACAATAAAAAAAATTTAATATATAAGTGTAAATAGTTAGAATCACTACAGTTGCAGGGTGCTATTTCATTTGTGCGTTTTTGTCGTACGACAAATGTGTACAGAACAGAAAGTGTCCTCAGATCTCTTTCCCATAGCCAATCAACAGGCTTGAAAAATTTGTCGTATGACAAACACGCACAAATGAAATATCACCCGCAGAATGTCATTTATAACAGGATCAAGAAGGAGCTTTAAGAGTTTAATCCATCAAGAATAGAATGTATTAATCCATTTAACATAAGGTAAACTTATTTATGTCTCGATAATGTCTCAAATTGGTAAGATGCCCACACGGAATTCAGAAGATCCAGATTCGAATCGCAGCTGAGAGGATATTTTTCACAATAAATTATTTACAATACTTTAAAAATGCTTATTAGCATTAATAATATTAAATCGCTTGTCATTTTAACGTGTGATATTGCATATTCTAGCTTTAATTTATAAATTTCAAGACTGACAAATATATAATAGGCGCACAATTTTTTAAATTAAAAATTGTAAAAATTTACACACATACTATTAAACACCAAAAGACTCGCCATGACGGAATATGATTCTCTTCACTCGTTTATGTTAAGTTTATTTTTATATAATATTAATATTAATACGTATTATATAATATTAATATTAATACATATTATGTAATATTACTTAAATATAAATTACTTTGTCAATATTTTATGAGTTCAAAATTTCGATTGCTCGTTTTCAAAAATAAAATTTTAAATATGTAATATTCAAATACATAAATATTTAATATAATTATATATTAAAAACGTGATTCCACTTTGATATCAAATTCATCAATATATTCACGATTTTTATTTACAGAATACAATACAGGTATTTTCCTATTTACAAGGGAAAAGACTTCGATCATAAGTTAAATAGTAATCATATGCTAAGGCCCATATTCAGAACGCGCTTACAACAATGTTAGCGCGCTAACATGCTATAATTTACGCATACTATAGAATTTTAGAGATAAAAACGAGCTTGATAAGCGCGTTCTAAATATGGGCCTAAATGTTTGTTATTTTTTCTCTTTTAATAATATTTATATTACTAACCATTTTAAACATAAATAATAATAAGATTATGCGAAAAAATAAGTTAATACCGGTTTACATCAATGTAGATTAATTTTAATCTCAGTTTAACTTACTCTTCGTATTTTCTAAGCTAATCGATCGTAAGTCCAAAAATCCGTAACTTAAGATACCTGCGTAAGTTTTCTTCAACTATTCACAGAAAGTTGATAATTTAGACATATTTTTATTTTTTACATTACGTGGAAATAATGATATTTCATTAGAGATTTATTTTAAATAATTTTTATTTCTTTATAATTAATAAGTTTCTAATTAGATATTACTAGACGTTATATTTTTCTTTCTCAAGATATTTAAATCCTGAGAATTATTTAAAAATAGAAGATACGTCTTATTAAAAAAAAAAAAACAAGTAATATAAACAGTAATATAAAGTATAGTAAACAGTAATATAAAAATTCTCGCAAACGAGGAACACGTGTAAGAGTAGTAAGATGCGTTTGAAATGCAAAAAAGCCGCGATTATAAAAAGATCAAAAAAATGATCAAAGCTTTCTCATACACATACATACGCAATGTATCAAGTTCTTAATGGACTGAATAAAATGTGACACTCCATAATGACACTAAAAAAATTAACTAAAACAAGGATAATCAGGACCGAGACGAGCGTATTACAGTATTATTTACGCATCTGCAAATGAAAGTGAGACGACTGTACAACGAACTTATAAATTATCCCGTCTGTTCATTTAATTACGCTTTAATGGAAGTGACTTAAACCAAGCCTTTGATCATTTATCGCGTACATAATACGATATTACGTTAAAAATCCTTGTGTATTTTATTGTAGCCATATTTTCTTAATGTATGCTTCCTTTTTTAAAATACCTTTAAAAAACTGAAGAAAAAGCAACACGTGATTTCATCGCTATATAGATATATTATTATTTAATTCTTTACATATTTTTTATTTCAACTTTAAAATTGATTGTTTTTCTTCTATGCTCGACATTCATGCCTCTCGTGATGCAACGACAACTGAAATAAATGTTTCCGCATCAAAAAAGTAGCGACAAAAAGAATAAGAAAGGAAGAAAGAAGGATATGGGCTCGACCTCAGTATCATACAAATACTTTCGCGAAAATTTCTCGACGTACCGCTTGCTTTCATGACGAAGAATTTCGAAGTTATTTCGTTTCGGATGCCATTTCGAGGCTGCCGAGTCGCGGTATCATCCGCGTGCTTCCACCGAGCTCTCTCACGCGAGGCAAAGGACTTAATAATGTTGCCAGGCACAAAGGTCAAGTCTCTTGTGCCGCGAGGCATTCGTGGCACTTTCGCGAAAAAAGGACAGAAAGCCCTCAGCACTTCCTCCTGGTTCCTATAGCAGCCTCTTCCGGCGTCCACGTAGTCCGAGAAAACTTACCTCGGCGTTTTAATTTCGTTTACTTGGGGATGCTACCGAAGAAGAAAGAGGGTTGAGATCTACGGAGAGGGGAAAAAAGATAGTGGCACAGAGACTACAGCAGAAGCCAGTGAATCGTTTGAGACACGTCGACGATACCACAAAGGAAAAAGCGGTAAACTTTAAGCTGCTTTTTTGACCAGAGGCTACCTAAAAAGGAAGTGCTTTCTTTTCAGACAGTTATATGAGAGATGTAAAATTTTTCCGAAAGGATAAAAATCGCCCAAAGGATACGCAGGTATACTGTTTTGCCGATAGTAAGAAACTATGAAGATAGAAAAATGTTGATTTCCTCAGATATTCAATTCTTTAAATTCTCATTTGTACATCATATATATCTATATAGTTAGAATTCTAGAAACTTCCATCTTTAGACAATCCCGGAATTTTTATATCTATTTTAATAAATATTTAGATACATATCAATCTTTGAATTTTCTTAGATCTTCCGAAATTGAAATTTAGCCGTGCATTATCAAAAATGCAAATATACATAATCATCGTAATCCATTTCTTTTCTCCTTAAACTCTCTAAATCCGTATCAGTGAATAACTGATATCAGTCCTAATAATACATTGTAATCAGTAAATGAAATATGGAATCCCTAAATTAGCTAATCATTATTATTTGATCTAACTAATCTTATTTTCGCGTATAAATGTTTTAGTGTACAAAGGAGATGAAATTAACATGCAAAATATTAGTATTTTAATTATAAAATGCTGTTTCTATTTTTAATTGAATTTCAATTATTATCCAGCTGCCAAGTATATACCACTGTGTAATTACTGATTACTCACTGATTAAGCTTTAGAGAGAAGACATTTTCTTTATCAAGTTAATTGTATACATTACTGATCAATTTAAGGAAGAAATATAATCCTGTGAAACCAGCAAAAAGTTCCTAGAAAATATTATCCACGAGTCGCGCGAACAGGAGAGCGTTCATTCATATTGATGCGCGACTCAAACATTGATTCCCATGCAAGAAACCAGCAATACCGTTCGATTCGTGCTTGATCCCATCGCCGGCCGCATAACATTAATGCGTGCTTGGCTTACGTACATCATCCGGCAGTCGATTTTCATCGATAATGCAGGAATATCGTATTACGAGGCGCTGCGGACGATCCGTGAGATTTTCTACATGCGCGTAATACGGATCGACGTATCCGCATCATTAGTAGTCGTTGAGGAAAAAAAAAGTAGGAGAATAAGTCGACCTGCCTAAGCGCGTGCATCCCATTACGTTGGCAATCGATATTTTCCATTTTCTTCCCGATCGCTGACATTACCCTTCCCCTCACCTGCCATTCTCTCTCCGTGTCCCGAGGGTGCACGACGTGTACCTGTCTATCGGAGACGGCTTACGCTTACTAGGTCTAGAAGGACATTAACATGTGAAAGGTATAACCCAGTAATAACGGTTGGGATAGAGAATGTAAATGAGGACGGATTGAATTTTTTAACTTTATCGAGAGTCAGCTATTGGCTTGCGAGCGGGAGAGTGGGGTTATATTTCACAAAGTATGCAAATGTTGAATATAATCGAAATTGCCACTCAAGATTGTTCAAAAAGACTCGTATTAAGGGTAGATATTGATCAATTACGAAGACTTGGCTGTTTATATCTCGTTGCCGAAAAATATTTTAGAGATAGTAGAAATAACATTACAGTATTTTGATATTTCTCTTGACACGACCAGATCGTGATTAGAAGTTATATTTATATTATTAATAAGGCACGAATACGTTTTACATAGTCGAGGATTATGTCAGAAATTAAATTGTGCCCATCGCTATATTGTAATCCTTGTGATCGATAGATAAAAGCGACGAGGTAATCGGCCATTATAGCCGTTTTGCACTTCGAGTGATTTTCAAAGTCAAAGGGATTTCGAAGCACTGACACGCGGGCGTGTGCAAAAGGTGAGATCGAGCCGAGAAAGAGAGCTGGGAGCAGAAGAGAGAAAGGGCCTCATTGGCAAAGCGGACTGCGGGAAAATTGCGTTTCCCCATTACGGCGAGATTAAAGTCCCGTCCCGCATTGCAGTTCCGCCCTGTTTCTTCCGGTGCCACCCTCGTACATAAGAACCGCAATTAACCCACGACGGGTCACACTGATCTCGAGGTCCATGGTCCCTCGCGGCTATTTGCGGTGTAAACGAAAAGTAAGGGTGCGCGAAAGATCGAGGGACGGACTTAGTCCGGCGATCGGCAAACAATTATTTTTCCTCCACGTGCGCAAGGACAAATAGAATGTCGCGGCTGTCGTAAATGAGCAATCCTTCGCCTTGCTTTGGTGGAAAGGAACGGTTACTTCAACACGAAGAAATTTATTTTGCCCTGAGGCTGATATACGTACATATGTGTGCGTATATGTGTGTGTTTTCCTCTCTCTATCGCATGATATTAAAAGGCACATCAAAGGCTTTCTTCTGTTTCAATAGCCAATATTACTATTATTTGAGACTTCAATCTAGTCCAAGTAAAGAATACAGGAGTTGAAGAAGTTAATATCCTTTTAAACAGGGGGGGGGGGAGTTTTCTTTTGTGCGCTTAAATTTATTTTAGTACTATGTATATTTGCTCTAGTATCTAAATTCGTCATATTTTATTGACTTTTGATACTGTAATGTATCATGAATAGATAAATCAACTGCAATCAGATGTTACAATGTACTAAAACACTGTAAAGTCCATTCTATAATTACATAAGCATAATTGTAAATGATTGTAGCTGTACACTGAGAAAAGACTGAAAAATTTATCTATGAGAAACATAAGTTATTTCACTGAAATAAATTTATTTAAATATAACGAAATAAAATTTTATTTCTAGCAAATAAGTAATTTTATCTTCTTTTTTTTTTACAATTAATAAGATATATTTCACAGAAATGTATATTTCGTCATCATAATCCAATTTTTTTCGTAATAAATATTGAAGAAACATTTGTTTCGCAATACTTCGACATTTTTTTCTCAGTGTAATAATCGACCAATCATAATTGAATATTCTCCTCATATTTTATCGACCATGATTGGTCAATTTTACAATCACTTATAAATATGCTCATGTAATTGTGGAATGAGCTTAGAATACAAATATATAGTCGTATTTAAGATTTTCGTAAATATAATAAAGCTTATATATTATATTATTTATTTTACATTCCCATTATAGTCGCGCGTTGAGGTGCTTCAGTGATAAAGGTCGGTGACGCGAGTCGACGAACGGGCCGATAATTAACAGTGGAGCACAGTCGGATCAATTAACGTGAAGTGAACGAAAGTTCTATAACAAAACTCGGTCATGCACGACCGTCGGTCTACTGTTTTAATCGTAAGTAATCGACGTCTACCGAACGGCCGGGCGCGGGCTAGTTTACCGCGCGCCGTTATACACGCTCTCGAGGACAGTCGCTTTGGGACGAATTTATATAATTGAATTCGGTTCACTGAACTCCGCCCAGCACTCGAAACACTACGGCCGGCTAGTTCCGATCCGGAGCAACCGGGCTAACGAGAGAATAACAAGCAACGGCGAACGAACGGATGCGGAATCGCCTGGGCCGGTCTGAATGTCGAAGAGTAGCGAAGCGTGTCGGCGCGCGATGCAAGAACACGATGAGTGCTATGACGCTTGCATGAACAAACTATTGCATTGCACATATTGCACTAATTCATTTTTTCAGTTCTGTGCTCTCCTTTTGTTATACGTTCTCGATGTGCGGAGAAAGCAATCGTATATTCATTCAACTGCACACACAGAAATTAAAAATACAAAGACTATTTAATTTATTTTATCACAAAAGTTAAAAATACAAAGAATAATAGCTGTATAATATAACTTGAATATCGGAAAAAATTAATAGTATATGCGTTCAACTGCAGATGCAGAAATTAAAAATACAAAGACTATCTATTTTATCACAAAAATTAAAAATACAAAGAATAACAGCTATATAATATAACTTAAATATCGAAAGAAATTAATCTTCTATAATGCTAAGATAATTTCAGATAATATTTTACAAAAATTTCTTTCCAAGATTATCAATAATTTGAAGATTAAACTACGGCGAAGAAAAGATCGACTTGAAATTCAACAAGAAGCTATCGTTGAAAGGCTCCTCTGTAGACTCTATAAAAATGCATAACCGGTTATTCCAAAAAGATTATGTTCTCTTAGATAGATTTATACTGTTCCGATATTCACTTGCCAGCAACTGCTTTTATAGTGGCAGAAAAAACAGGCGAATCGGAAGTATCGAAACATCTTCGGCATATCGTTGTGCATCGATCTTCCTACGGAGTTGGCGACAAACGACCTTTTTCCATCGTCGAGCGTGCATATTTCACTCGGAAGCGTCACGGGAATACGGCCGACGCACGACGAAACTTAAATCAGGAATTCATAGATTCCGGCGTACTTCCTGCGAGGGCTCTGAAGCTCTTGCAGAATCCTCTCTGTATCCCTTTCTAAACTCGCTCTTCCTTGAAGAAAACACAACATTCCTATTTCACGTTTCCGCGGATAGTTTATTTTATTTTCTGATGTGTAACAGATCCAACTTATTGTAAAGTAAAGATCACTAACCGAGAACATTGAAGCTAACCGTCTCTCATACATTCTATTCTTTCAGATTAAAAAAAAAAACATTTGTTGAAAGAATATAAGTGAATAAACTGACAAATAAAATATACAGCATCTCGAATCAGCGAGAACAGTTATGAATAATCTTAAGGATTTTGAATATTCTTCTTATCTATTTGGAAATTCTATCTTAAGTATTCCGGATTATGTTCTTGGTAAATGTTCGTACAAGAAAGTTAGCGCCAGCTTGCAGACTTATGTACGGAATAGATTTACAACGCGTTATATTAAGCGCAGCATTTATCGACGACACGTAGTTTAATACAAGTTTTCTCTATCCCGCGTTCTGTCGAACAAGCTCGTAGTCGTAACAAAACTCAGGTGGAAACTGCGTTTTGTTGCGGGAGGGGAGAGATTGAATTCGCAAATATTTCCTCGAGATTTTCTTCGTAAGAAGTATATTGAGGAAAAAGAGCGAAAATCTAGCACTGAAAGTTGGAAGTATCTATATACACTGTCTTTCTCTTTTCTTTACAAATAAGATATAAAAACAGTATCGCAATATGACGACAAATCTAAATTATTACTAC